CCTCCCTGTGTACCAATATATTATCATTATTAATTTATTTTCCTCCAGGTAAATCTACTAGGGCCTTTGTGATCCTGAAGAGTTTCAGAACTGTCTTTCTGCTTTTGTTTTCTGTGTTTGCCAACATATCAGTCAGGTGTACCAGCCTGCAGTTTCCTGGGTTTTATGAAATATAGGAGGCAGTGATTGCAAACAGATTATATAGAACACCTATAATATAGCATGTATATATGACATTTTTTTCATACTTCAATACCTTCAATTTATTTTCTTTTATTGCTCACTTTTTCTCAAAGAAGCAAACGAGTGCCTTTTCTATTTCCATTTCAAACCAGCAACAGACAATTCAGAAGTGTTTCTATGGGTTATTTAGAGGGATGTCTTGGTGTGTTCATCAAAAAAACACTTACACAGATTTATGGTGTCAGTAATAACAGCAACAGATGTCATTTCTTGCACACTTTGTGCCAAGCATTGCTCTCAGAACTTTATTTACTTCTTGTGAAACAAATATTTACTGAGAACCTGTCATGCACTAAGCACTATTTTAGGCACTTAGGTTATATCTGTGAATGAAAGCAAAGAACTGCTGCTGTGGAGGTTAAATTTTATTGGGGTTTTCAAACCATAAATGAGCCCAAAGTAAGCAAAGTTATTATGTGTGTAGAGGTGAGAAGTGGTTTGGAAAAAAGAATAGGTTGACAAAGCAGCTAGGACAAAGACCAACAAGGGAAGAAAAGACTTGAGCAGTGCTATAAACTGTCCAGAACTAACAGACACATATGAAACACTATCCAACAATAGCAAAGTGAACATATTTCTCAAGTAAACATGGAATAATCTCAAGAATATGCTTTGCAAACTGATATATTTAAAATGATTAAAATAATACAACACATATTGTTGGACCACAGTGGAATAAATTTAAAAATCAATAGTAAGAGAAAACTTGGGAAACTCATAAATGCATCAAAGCTAAACAACACACTCCTAGATTACCAATATGTGAAAGAAGAATTCAAAAGGTAAATCATAAGGAACTTTGAGGTGAGTAGAAATGAAGAACACATATCAAAACTTGAGGGATATAGCTACAGTAATGTTTAGAGAGCTCTAAATGCCTAAGCTAAGAAACAAGATGTCAGATCAATAATCTGCCCTGCCTTTCACATTAAGACATTGGAAAAAGAAGAACAAACTTAAACTCAAAGAAAGCAGAATGAAGGGGGACTAGGGTTGTGGCTCAGGGGTAGAGGTCTTGCCTAGCACATGTGAGGCACTGGGTTTGATCCTCAGCACCACATAAAAATAAATAAAGTTATTCTGTCCATCTACAACTAAAAATATGTTTTTAAACAAAAAAGCAGATGGAAGGGAATAATAAAGATTAGAGAGGAAATTAACAAAGTTAAATGAAATAAATAAAGAATAGAAAAACAGAAAATCAATGACCAAAAATTAGTTTTCTGTAAAGAACAACAAAGTTAAGAAGCATTTAGCTCAATTGTAACCAGCAAAAAAGGAGAATATTCAAATTAGAAATGAAATAGAGGACATTACTATCAGTTTTACAGAAAGGAGAAGCATTAGAAGACTATGAACAATTTTATATCAGTAAATTAGATAACCTAGATAAAACAAACAATTCCAAGAAAGACACAAACTACTGAAACCAACTTAAGATACAGACTGTCTGAACAGACCTATAACTATTAAAGAGATTGAATTAGCCTAAAGGGTTGGAAATATGCCTAAGGAGTACCAAAAAAAAAAAAAAAAAATTCCAGGTTCAGATGGCTTTACCACCAGATTGTACCAAACTTTTAAAGAAAGAATTAGTACCAGATCTTCATAAATGAATCAAAAAAAAAATAGAAGAGTGAACACTCCCCAGTTTACTTTGGGACTCATTCCAATGTCAAACTAGACAAAGAAATGAAAACTACAGACCAATATCCTGGGTAATAAGGAGCACAAAAATTCCTTAACTAAATGCTAAGAAATCAAAGAATTACACACTGTGGTTATGTGAGATTTTATCCCAGGATTGTAAGGTTGGTTTAACACCACAAAATCAATTCATGTAACATTATTATATCAACAGACTGAAAGCCAAAATCACATGATCATCTCAATAGAGAAAGCATTTGACAAAATTTAGTACTTTTTCATAATAAAGACCTCAAACCTGGAACAGAAAGGAATTCCCTCACCCTGATAGGGCATCTACAAACAACACATAGATAACATTATACTTTTTTTTTTTTTGAAGAGAGAGAATTTTAATATTTATTTTTTAGTTTTCAGCGGACACAACATCTTTGTTTGTATGTGGTGCTGAGGATCGAACCTGGGCCGCACGCATGCCAGGCGAGCTCGCTACTGCTTGAGCCACATCCCCAGCCCAGATAACATTATACTTAATGGTGAAAAATCAGACACTTTCCCTGATCCTGACATTCAGAAGCAGGACAAGTATGTCCACTCTTCACCACTTCTATCAACATGGTACTGTGTTCTAGGCAGTAGTTAGGTAAGAAGAAACAAAAACCATCAAGACTGAAAAGAAAGAAGTAAAACTTACTGACATGAACTTGAATATAGAAAATCCTAAGAAATSTACTAAAATACCCAAATGAGTTTAGTAGGGTTACAGGATACAAAATCATACAAAATTAATTATATTTTCATATACTTCCAATGAACAACCCAAAAATAAAATAAGAAAACAATTCCATTTACAATAGCACCAAAAAGAATAAAGTACTTAGGAATAAATTTAACAAAAGAAGTGCAATATAATGAAAACTACAAAACATTGTAGAAAGAAAAATAATATAAATGGGAAAATATCCCATGTTCATAGATTGTAGGACTTAATGTTAGATAGAAACATTCCCCCAAACTAATCTGCACAGTGAGAAAGGTATCATTTCCACAACCTTAGAATGACCATACTCAAAAAGACAGATAATAGTAAATGTGGAAAAATTGAAACCCTTATTTATATACTGCAAGTGGGAATATAAAATGGTGCAGCTGCTTCTTGGCAGTTCTTTAAAAGGTTAAACATAAAAGTTCTTATTGACCCTGTAATTCTACTCCTAGGTGTATGCCCAAGAGAAACAAACACATACATCTAAACAAAAACTTGTACATGAATGTTTATAACAGCAATATTCACAAAAATAAACAATTTATATAAATATCCATCACCTGCTAAATGGATAAACAAGATGTATTATATCCGTACAATGAAATACTATTCTTCTTATACTGACAACATATAGCATAGATAAGACTATAAAACATTCTGCTAAATCCTAAGCCAATCAAAAAGGACTTTATTATGTGGTTCAGTTTATATGAAGTTTCTATAACAGAATATTAGTGATTGCTTAGGGAGAGGGGAATTGCAAGTACAGGAGACATGATAACTAAAAGATGTGTGGTTTATTTTTGAGGTGATGAAATATTCTAAAATTTGGGGATGTTTGCACGTATCTCTGAATATCAAAAACATTGAATTATATACCTTAAGTGAGTGAACTGTTTTATATGTGAAGTATATTTCAGTAGAACTTTTTTGTTTTTAATCAGCTTAATGATAATTTTGTGAAGGAAAGGCAGATCACAAGGGATGGGAATGGGGTGGGGTTGCAGTTTTGCAACGGGTGGTCTGGTGATACTTGAGCAAAACCTTAAAGATGGTGAGGAAGTTGGAAGAACATTTTCTAGGCAGAGCTGACAGCCAACATAAAGATCCTACTAGCAGGAGAAAGACTTTGTATGTGCAGGGAGTAGCCAAGGAGGCTACTCTGCTAGAGAGAAGTGAAGCAGGATGTGAGCTTACAGATACAATGAAAATTTGTAAGGTGGCTGGCTTTTCAAATACACAGCAGTGTGCTGGGGTGATGCATCTGTGAGCTGGTATTTAAAGCCCTGAGACCAGAAGTAATCACCAAAGGAAGGAGAATCAATAGGGAAGAGGACAAGAACCACTTTAGAGTCCAGGGCTTTCCAAACCTAAAACATCTGGTGAAAGGAAGATGCAGAAGAGACAAAGAGGGAAAGATCAATGAGGGAAGAGAGAAAGCAAAACAGCTGTGTCCTGGAATCCAGGTGAAGGAAGCATTGAAGGCAGAAGGTGGACCTGGAGGGAACAGCTAGATTGGAAGATGCATGAGCACCATGAGCCTCAGCTGTTGGCCTTCATGCAGCAGATTTTCATGAGYGGCTGGGTGAAAGCCTGGTTATAGTGAGTTTAAGACAAAACCGAAGGAGAGAACTTAGAGACACCAAAGGCAGTCCTCTGAGGGGACTGAGGGAAGTTTGGGAGAACTTTTTTTTAAATTTGGGACAAATAACATACGTTTGTATACTGATGGAATGCACTAGAGAGGGAGGGTAGAAGTGACTAGGCAGGCACATAGTTAGTTCACCTCCTGCCAGAAGGAAAGCACATCAAAGTTTTGTTTTGTTGGTTTTCCAAATATCTTTCTGTTTTTAAATCACTTTTTTCTTCCTAGAGTAGCCTCCAAAAAGAGCAGAAAGCTACCTACTGCTCTCAGGTCAGCTGTCATCCTGAAGGTGCTGTCCTTGTGAAAGTCAGTTCTCTTAGGCGATGAAATCCACATGCCATTCTTTCCTTCAGGGCATTGGCATCTAAAGTGGAACCTTTGCTCTGTAATAGACCATCACCATGCTTCTGGTACTGGTTGCAATCCGTTTCCACCCACTTAATCTGCAGTTTCTACCTAGAAAGTTCCAGCCCTAATRGAGGCTTCTGCCCAATACTTTCCAAGGAAAATCTCACTGGGTTTTACACAAGCCTAAAGAAAAGGGCAGAGTCCCAAGATGAGTGGAGATGCAAGATGTTTCTTGCAACTGGATTTACTCTTTCCACAGGAGGGAGGAGGGTATAATTGTTTTAAAACACACAATATTGTTTTGTAAAGCATTGCAAATTTAAAATATATTCATATTAATATTGTCTGTAGGTCCTTTCCAGTCTCAGAAAAAGAACTTATTCCACAAAATTGTCAGCAAATATAAGCACAAAAAGGAGAAGCCTAATGTTCCAGAAAAAGGTATTGGTGCCTTCCATCCTCCATTAAGGTTTCTTGATCGCCTCCATTGCCAGCTCATCTTGAGTAAAGCTTCAGCGTGCACCTCCTTTGCCTTTTTCTCCCCTGTGCTTGCTTCAGTGTCATCAGCTCCTGGCTGGGCATTTTTGTTCTTTCTAGACTCTGCAGCTAATTATAAACTTCCATCCCTTGGATTGCTACTCAAATCCATATTTGTCTTTTTGTACAGAGTTCCATATGAATTTTAAAATTGATTCTTCTCATCTACATTTGGTACCTTTTGTAATTTAGTCTTTTTGACCTCGTGTCTATTCATTTCTTTGGCTCTTTTTCCCCCCCATGTCTGGCAGCCCTTCACACCATAACCACATTTTTCTGCTTCCTGAAATATTCATATTCATGTCAAAGTCCCACTGTTGGGGATTGCCATGGACATTTTTCTGCCATGGACATTTTTCTCCACTCCTAAGTTCTAACTTGCCTCTTTTCCTCCTCTGTGTACTTCAATGTTGGCTGAACTCTTCTCCCAACTCCTACAGTCACATAACTGTTATTTCCAGAGGGCCCTTAATGTCCCCTCCTCTCCTCTGAACATCTATCTCATTGTTATGATCTTGATGGGCCCTTGAACCTCTTCAGGACTCATCTCAAGATCTCTTTCTTGGAGTTCAGGGCTCCTCCTTCACCTAAAAGATAAATCTTCCCATCTGGCTCAGTATAGTCACAAGTCCTGGAGGTTGGGCTTCAGTTTCAGTGTCTGCCTGCATGTCAGTGTCAAGCCGTAAATCGACTCATTTGATGCACACTCGCATCCTACTTGCATGGCCAGATGTGAAGCACTCTGTGCTTCCTGAGTGAGGCTCTCACTAGCAGCTGTCTTCTGTGTAGGTGAATGCGCCTGTGTGTGCCTGTGTGTAACATCCTCTTACTAAATGTGGGCTTTCACTTCTACTCAGCCTCTTTTTTGTTTGTTTTGTGTATTTATGTATATATATTTTTTCATTTGCTTCCAGTGAAGAAACTTTATTTTCCAGGTAAAATTGTCATACCCTTTACTGATCTTCAAATTTTGTGTATTAAAGTCAAAGAAATTACCCAACAGTGTATTTCACAAAAGACAAATTTTGTTTATCCATTTCCTGTGTAGCCTCCAGCCATAGCTTCATTAGTTTAGTTGGCAAATACAATTTGAGAACAAAATAATTGAAATAAAATTCCATTTTATTTTTATGGTGTTTCATATTTAAGTTACTTTGTACATAACCTTATTTTTATAGTATTTATATCCATATTAGGAATACAGTTTCACATTTTTTTCTATCATTGTTTTTAGGAAGTGGGGATAAATGGTCAAACAAGCAACTCTACTTGGATGCCATTCACCCTACAGAAGGTAAAAGAATCAACATAGTGTTTAATTTCAGATAGTCTAAGTTGAAAATTGAATAATTTTTTATAGACTTAAAAAAGTTATCATTTATATAGATTCAACCAATAGCATTAGAATTTGTGTTAATAATTACATTTTGAGGTCTCCTGCAAAGAGTCAGACAGAATATATTGTGGTGTTTCATTTATGAAAGGAGAATTTGAAACCTTTGAATGACATTAACCAGAGATTTGAGTTTTGTTTATGACATTAATGACTCACTCTGGTGAGTGTTAATTTATATGAGTTAAGGAGCCATCCTTCCCTTCTTTCCATTGATTCCCCTTTTCTCATCATAGATAATTTTAAAGACCTGAATACTTTTGTGCAGTGTTTACTTCATTTGAAAACTAGAAGGAATCTTAGCAATCATCCAGTTTGGACCTCTTTGATTTACTTATGTCCAGAAAAAACCTGTCTACAAAATATAGTTTTTCCTTTACTGTAAAGGAGAAAMAAAATCAATATGTACATTTGACCCTAGTCACTTTTCAGAAATACTCATATTTTTAAGGTATTTATAAAAAATATTCATATTTACCAAGGTATGGTGGCACATGCCTGTAATCCCTGGGACTKGGGATGCTGAAGCAGGATTCTGAGTTCAAGGCCATCCTTAGCAACCAAGTGAGAGCTTGTTTAAAATATTTTTTTTAAAGAAAGGAGGGTATAACTCGGTGGAAGTTAAATTCCCAGTTACCAACCCCCCAGTGCCAGTTCTAGTTTGAGTTACATTTATCAAAAACTTTTTTGGTTTAATGGACATAATTCATACATGCCACGTCTGCTTTTGCATCATTTTACTTTTACAGAAAATGACATCAATATGAATGTTTTCTGACCCATTATTTCACATTCACAACCTCTGTGAAGTATTATTTCTGCCTAAGTGCAGGCAGAACAAAATATGAATTGTGCTGTTCCCAGCCTTCAGTCCTAACATCCCCAAATTGAATTATTAGCTCTTATGTATTATAAAAATATATTGCACACATTTTTTTTATAAATATAAGACATTGATGACCTATCAGAGAAAGCTAAAGGCATTTAAGACCACATTACTCTTCCCTTCAAATGATACCATTTTAAATACTTCCTTTTTTGTTTTGTTTTGCTTAGCTTTTTTTATACACTAAAAATGCTGCTGAGTTGCCACAACTAGTGCAGTATGATAGAAAGAACACTTAACATAGGGAATTAGGTAGGTTTTCAGATCTGCCACTAATCAGCATTTTTCAGTAGGACAGATTGTTTAGGATTTACTGTCCACATTTGTCCTATGTACATATGTGGTTCTCTTGTGTTGAGGGATTGGGTGAATGATAGGATGTAGTAATTCAAAAATCACAAATTTCATTTTCCCCTTAACACTTGATGATTTTGTTACTTTGGTATTTTTTTGTGGTTAATGTGATGCTAGAAGCACCATATTCTGCAGCCCTAATTTTATGCCTTTCAGAGATAGAAAACTAAATCAATTTTGAATCTTACAGGTAGTCCTCAGAGGTTAGTAGAAATAGAATTATTATTGGTGATATTTAATTATAGATATTATTAATGTATATGGAACACAGCTTTGAAGAGGATGCACTGAAAAATGCATGCTGTTTATTTATTGTAGAGTACAGGTTCATTTCAAATGGCCTGGAAAAAAAGGGAATCAATTTGAGCATCAGAAAATTACTAGTAATTTAAAGTGACCTTTCTTGGTTATGTATTTTCATACCACTCCCAGCCTTTACTGGTTCAGGTGGTGACTATGTGCTTTTGAATTATCTAAGCCCTTTACTTCATCCTCTCTCTCACCTATGGCCAGATCGCTGCTTATTACAGCTTTGCTTTGGAAGGCGTAAATACTTAGGGACAGAAAATGAAGCCATAATCCTGGATAATTTTAACATGTATAAGCCATTTGGCACAAAAGTTAGGAGTTGTTTGTAGCTACTGTCTATAATAAAAGCCTTGATTCACCTGAGGCTGTCCAGCTATTCAGCTGTCCCTGACTTCTGTTAAAGTGGATGACTTGAAGTTCACTTGTACTTTTTTTACAACATCCTGTGTAGAATTGCTTTTGCAACACTATTCTTTCCCAAAATATCTGAAATCTTTAGATCCTTAGTTGTACATCTGAGGGTTAAATGCTAAACTTATAATTTATTGTGTTTTTTCTCCTATGCCTTTAAAACTAAAAGATGGCTAAATCACTTCTCAAAACTTTTATATAACAACTAAATATATTGCCTATAACCTAGAATTAAAGGTACAATTTTCTCATAAAGAAGACCTACCTCTGCTGCCATATTTGTTTCTGTGAGAACATGCTGTTACATGTCCATGATATTTCTAATTGCAATAATGATATAATTAATACATCTTCATAGTTTAAAGTTTACAAAGGACTTTCACATGTTTTTAAAATTTCATCTTCATAGCAGCCCCATTGAATTAAGGAAGGTTTTATTAATCCCAAACACATGGCAGGGTATTGAAGCATGACCAGTACAAGCAAAAGGGAAGAAACTTGGATTCATGCCATTGAAGCCCCTTTGACTACTACAGTTTCAATTGTTCAGACATATCTATGGACTTTTTCATCCTTGTTTGGTTCAGATGTAAATATAAAAGATATATTACCCCTCCTCCCCCCAAAAAAACACCCAGAAACCTCAGACTTGGAATCTCCATCAGATTAGTATGTAAATGTAATCACAGGCAGGAGAAAGACTCTGGTTTATAGTTAGATTTTCAAACACAATCCTCAGTTTCCATTCTAACTTGATCTCCTTTCTCAGCTTTGAAATAGTTGCTATATAACTTAAGCAAAGTCTCCCAGAACTTTAAATAAGTCTCATTCATTTGATTCTTTTTCCTTTGTTCTATTCAGAATCTGATTGCTGTATTAGTGCATGGGAGACCAACCAAAGGCAATGAGATTTCAGATCTGGCTATAATAATTCAAACTGAATCCTCCAGTTGCAAAGTGAATTAGTTCATGATTCCAGTGGCCTCCTGGGGTACAATCCACGTGCAGTACTGCTTTTCCCTGAACATTTTCTTCACATTTTGGAGTAGAGTTTGGAAAACAAGATAGCCTCTTATTTCCACATTCCTAATGTGGCTCCAGGAGTGAGCTCATGTTATCACTCTCAGATGATGCACTTAAAGTGTGTTATGGTTATTGTTGAGTATAAAATCTAGCCCAGTGGACTTGTTCTTAGTCCTTGGATAGTCTTGTATGTTCAATTAAAAGCCAAAAGAGAAATGACTAATTTGCTTTTAGACGACAAAGCCCTTTCTTTCCTCACATTCCCATTAGTTCCTGGGGTGTGTTGAGGGGAGAGGGAGAGCAGGACATAGGTTCCTCTGAGCCTTTTCATTTCACATCCCACACCACCCAGCCTTTTGTTTGCTCTGCCACTGTCAAATATTCTGTCCCAGAAGAGTACTTTTTAGACTCAACCTTACTTTCCTTCCCCAGTTTTCTCTTAGGAAAAGGTTCTCTGTGAGGGCTAACCTTGAGGGCGGTCCTTGGAATAAGCTGACAAGATGGTGTGTTTTGCCCCTTACATCCTCTTTCAAACTCTAGCAAGGTCATATTCTGTACTTTTTTCAAATATGGATGATATACAGGGGTCATGATTCCTTCTAGGTCTGTTAGTAAGTTTGGAGGAGACTTCTGGGTAAGTGGTGTTACCTGCTTTCATTGGGGGTGGTACTTATGAGAACTTCCAGTGTATTATTTTTTGCCTTTTTCCCTTGCCCTGCAACCAGATTCACACTTTTRCTGTTTCCCAATATGCCTGTGTGTTATAACTTGAGTATTGCTGTTGTCCTTTGGCTGGCTGGCTGGTCTTGGACCCTCTAGCTCCTTTTCTGCTGAGTGGATGCTGGGATTTTGAAATTTCCCACAGCCATATGTTTGGGATTTTTTTACTGTTAAACACTGAATTAACAGTAGATCCCCATTTGTAGTCCTTTTGCCCCCATGCCCTTGGCTTCTTACAGTGATTTTACCAATTTATCTAGAACAAATTAGAAAAGGAACAACCATTTAAAAGAATTGAAAACATTTGAAAAAGTCACCAGTAGAAAAGAAAACAATGCTATGCAAGGGAGTGCTATTGTTCCTCAACCTTGGGACTCTAAACTGAATGAGGGCTTGTTTTTTCCTACCCMAAACTCTAACTGTAGACCCTGTGGCAAAAGGATTATTTTAGGTCTGAATCTCTAGATTAGAGCTAATCTAGTCCACCCTCTGTTTTTACATGAAGAAACTGAGACCTGTGGTCCCAGAGTTAATGAATTATAAAGTCAATAGTGGAATCCAGGTCTCTGATTGACAGTTATTTCCATTACCCCTGTCGATGTGGAAATCTGATCATCTCTTCCAGCTTGTTTGTCCTTTTTGTGGTATCTATTTCTTTTATCTCCTTGTACCTTCTTTCCATAAACAGTTCTTCCAATGTACTGTACCTTTCATCTTTGGAACCTGGCCACGCCCTTCTTTCTGCAAGTTTTTGACTTCTCTAGGAAGAGGAATTAGAAAAAGGGAATAGATTAATATTCTTTTGGAATGGCCATCTATAATGTAGTGATCACACTACAGAAGTGAATAAGACTCCTTCTGTAATCCGAAGAGATTGGGAACATTGCCAAATAATTGGTGTTTTTCAGTTTTTGTTTGGTTTAGGTTTTTTTTTTCTTTTTTTAAAATAATTGTTATCTTAAGCCTATCCCCACACAGCCATCTGTTAAGCAATACTGAGATACTGACATAATGCCAAGCCACAAATCATGGTGTAATTTCTGTGTCTGTACTTTATTTTAATGAAATTGAAATTACTTCCCATTTGTTTTAGAATGTGAAGCATAGAATCAACTTTGTTCCTTTTAGGTATCTTTCAAAGACAAGGTTTCATCATGATTTCCAGGGCAAAGGACTTATTAATTCATAGTCTGTTTTCCCATCTCCTAAGCCCATTAGAGAGCTAAATTAAAAATCTTATAGGAGGGCTGTGCACCAACAAGTGTGTTTTTTTCACACCCTAAGCTAATCTTGCTCCATTTTCCTCTTATTTTAGCTGTTCTTCATTTTTATGTTTTATGCATTGCTTTATTCTAGTGTCTACCTTTAGATCCACCTTCTGACATAAATATGTTCGATTATTCATCAGGTTTCCTTTGCTTTAAGTTTGTTTTGTCAGACCTTGATTTTCTGATCCATAGTCCCCTCTTTTAAAAAATAATTTCTATGTCTGTTTTAAGAGATTGGATGGTTGCAAAGTAGGAGGGTGGGGGCCAGACCTGTTTTACCTGCCTAAAAATGCTTTGGCTGCAGGATGGAAAAAAAAACAAATCTCAATCGTAGCACTTGTGTACATGTATATACTCATAAATGAACTGAACTCATATCTGCATATTCTTTTTTACTTTTGAATTAAAGGGATGAGAATGATGAACTCCAAAGGAAACAAGTATATAAAACACAAGTATTCTTATCAAATTTAAGCCAGAGATAAAGGCTTTAATTGCAAGTGTGTTCTTTACTCTTGATATAGTGACTCAGGATACAAGAGTGTACTATTAAATTATTTATTAATTTTACCGTGAGTGTACCTACAACTAGTCTCTCTGTCAGCATGTGAGACTTAATTAAATTACCTCACTCACCTTGTCCTAGAACTTGGTGAATGGGAGGGTTGTATGTGTACTCACTTCACAAGTGTTTGTCCTGTCCTTAATGAGAGTCAATGTGCATAAAAGGAGGTCAGTTCTCACAGATTCTTTTCTCAGTCCAGCCTGATGCTTAGAAGCAAATGTCCCAACCATCAATGTAAAATTATGAAGCATGGGACCCTGATCATAGCTAGGACTTGAGATACAGATTTATATACGTTATCCTCCCTACCAACCTGCAAGATTCAAAGACTTAGAAAATGTTAAAAGAGAAGATATCTTCATACTCTGCCCATTATTTATCAGAAGAAGTACACATAAGTAGTAAACATTATAGAAATGTTTGTTTTAAAAATTTTCCATCAATAGTCTGAAAACTCTGACTATAAATTCCCTATTCAGATAGGTCTGAAATTTAGAAATGTTTCCATCCAAGAATAATGTCAATATCTTGTGTAACTATGTATGGTTTGTCTTGTTTCAGCCATATTTTCAGAAGACAAAAACACCACAGAGCCTGCTTATAAGGTTAAAAATGTCTCATCCATTCCCAACACTCCAGAGCCAACAACAATGCAAGAACCTTTGGTGGGCAGCCAAAAGAGAAAAGCAAGGAAAACCAAGATCACACACCTTGTCAGGACAGCAGACGGCCGGGTATCACCAGCAGGAGGTACTTTGGGTAAGAAGAGGGAGCTCTAGGCAGAGATGTCCAGAGTCTCATTGGCCAGCAAATGACTATAAGCCAATGGTGGCTTCTCATTGAAAAATGGACTGTTCTCTAGCTTTATATAGACTTTCAAACATGTCTTATTCCACACTTTAAAAAATCATACCTATTTTCCAAGAGCATATTTGAATTCCTAGAAAAGAAAGGTAAATTTAGGACTGTTAGCTCCTTCCTCTTTTTTTTTTTTTTTTTAAGCATGCACAAAAACAGTCTTGATGAAGTAAACTCCAGAATAGCCTAGACTTTTAAAGGTACTAGATGAATCTGTGTTATTCCATGGTCTGGTATTCATGTCACTGCAAACTAAATTATCAGGCATTCAAACCAGTGGATTAGGTACCTTGGAATACATCCTTATTTTCTGTAGAGCTGAAAGGAAACCTGAGAATGCACTAATTTCTTGTCTTATCTACCCAAATAGTAAAATTGCCCCATTTTCAGTCAGGACTTGAGTCTGTCTTTATTGGTCCTGGTGGCCTCCATGGCAGTAGAATTACCTGAGGGACCCAGTGCAAAGGGATAGAACAGTGAATAATAGCATCTCCCCAAAAGTTCTTGGGGATGCTGTATCATCTGGATCTTTGGTTTTTGACATCTCCAGAATTTCATTTTACCTGATTTGGATCAATCTAGGTGTTCATAGAAACAAACTGTTTGCTGAGTTAGAATTGGAAGACAAAGTTAATTTGGGGGTACCTTTTTTTTTTATTTTGCACAAATTGACTGTTAGAACCATAAAGTATGTTAAAGACACTGAATTGAATTCAACTCTTTGAAGAGGTGGAATTTTGTGCTGAAAACATTCAACTGAGTAGAAGTGGGATGAGGATATAAATCTTGATATCTTGATGTTTAGTCCAGCTGATCCCTTTCTCCTCCCCTTTTCAATCTGTGTTCTGTTCTGAGACTTTCATTTTATAGATTGTTAATTTTCACTTGTAGGAAGAAATAAGGATTCTAGAAAACACTCCCTTTTATGTAGCAAAACACTATACCAGCTTTATACCCTAATATATGACATTCACATCTTTTATTACTTGTTTCTATATTTAAAATCTTTTAAAACTCATGATGAAAATTCCCCCTCCTCTGTAATGTCTACATAATAAAGAAAATATTCTCATTTCTAGCAGGTATATTAGCATAGCATTTCATCTACCTCTTCATAAATACCAGAGGACCTCTTATCTTCCCTCCAGTAGGTCTTCAGATCAAAACAACAACATGGGATCTCATTAGGATTGATTAATCTGATAGTTAGCCTATCTCGTCAGCCTATCCTAAGTGTTAATATCACAGCACATCAAATGTCCAAGTTGCCATGCTAGGTCACCCTACGGCTTCATGAAAATTCATGAGAAATGTTTAGTCAGCTTGGGTTTTAAGGGTCCAGTGGCTGAAGTCCCTTGGGTTTTATTTTGGTCAAGGTTCATTTTTCCTCTTTCCTCCAAGACTGACCCATTCTTTGACTTTGAATAAAACAGCTTGTCTTCAGCTCAGCTTCAGTGTCCATAATTCCAGGGTGCAACTGAGTTTAATAAAAGTGCTTTGTCACTGTGGAAGAAGAGATTATAATATGCAATGAATAGCCAAAGTGAATAGTAAAGAAACCTAGCTCTTTTCATTCTCTGGCACATTTCCTTAGTGTTCCTTCTCTGGAGAGCAGAATGATCCTCTTATGATGGATTTCGCTTTTGTTACAGATGACAAACCAAAGGAGCAACTGCAGAGGAGTCTCCCTAAAGCAACTGAGACAGACTGCAGTGATGAGTGCTCACACAACACTGAAGCTGAGGAGACACGGAGCAGCACTCCAGAGATGCCTGCTGTGTCTGCCTTCTTCAGCCTCGCTGCACTGGCCGAAGTGGCAGCCATGGAGAATGTGCACAGGTCAGTGGTGTGACTTAGATGGAGGAAAAAATATGGAAACCAGATCAACCTTTCTCAAGTGATTTGTGGCAATTTTTATTACGTAGTGGAGTTCAGAGTAGTTCAGGAGCATTATTGTTTATGTGAGGTGTTACAAAAGTTTATGTGCTAGTTTACAGTATGGGGAAAATGTAAGAAAATATCGCCAGCTAAGTATTTCATTTTGAATATATTGTCCTATGGCTAATCTGGATTTCCATAAAAACCTGAGAGCAGGGAAGCAGTATCATTTAACCTTTAAGTGTGAGATCACAGACAGGGCTTTAAATCCTCAGTCTCTGAAAACAGAGATCTTGAGCAAGATCATTAACCTGTCTTCATTCAATGTTTTCTTTTATAAAATGAGGGTGAGAAGCACTCATTTCATTGAGATACTGTGTGGAATGACACAGTGCTCATGTGGGGACACCCCTACGGAAGAAGGTGCTAGCGGCAGTGGTGGCCAGCCATCACAACAGTACCGTTTAGGGGAATGAGTGTTTTGGCAACTGACTCATGGCAGGCAGGAGACCTGGAATTTTCTTCAACTCTCTGTGATCTACTACAGAGTAATTTATTCTCTGCATTTCAGTTTTTTCATTTTACATTGAGCATAATGATATATCCCCAAAGAATTGCAAAAGTTCTAAGGATCAGAGGAAATCATAGTTGTGAAAACCCTTTGAACTCAGTGAAGGCCCACAGGAAGTGTACTAAGTGTATAATTGAGTATTCTGCTACTTAATAGGTCCTTTGGGAAGGCAAAAAATAAAAAATAAAAAAAGGCTTTTGTAAATTCTGGTATTTCATACTGAATTTTATCTGTGGGTAATCAGAAGTTATTTTCGTGGACTTTCATAAAAAGTGCTTGAAACCCAGCACACTCTGGATAGCTGCCTGTAGGACCTCAGGCTCCTTTCGCATTTTCAGGTAAACCCATAGGCCCCTCTGTGAACTTGGTTTCCTTCTTGCCTTTTACCTGTCATGTTCTAGGTCTAGTGCTTGCTCACAAGTAGCTCTAGATATTCCAAGACGTCAGATATCCTTTCATGTGTACACTGCAAATTCCCATTAGCAAGAGACTGCTGACAGACATTGTTAAATGCGCTTGGGTCTCTGAAAGAGGCACTTCTCCACTTGTGGAATTTTAGAGTTGAGTATAGAAGACAAATGCATGACGTGCAAAGAGAATTTTTAATGCCTGCCTGAATGTTGCTAAGTGTCCCTGTGAATTATGGAAGTAGGTAGGTAGAATAAGAATTCAAAGGAGTGTCATAATTTAGGGCTCAGAAAATGTCATCACCCAGTCACCCTCATTGCTCCCTAAGTTCTCTCCAAACATGACTGTGATCACACCATCACTCTGCTAACCAGCCTTCCATGATTCCCAGTTTTTAAAAGTAGAAAGCAGAAACAAGCCTTTCCATTCTCATCTCTCTAGTGCCTCTACACCCTGCCCTGCATTAACACACACTCTTGCTCCTTTCCAGATTAGCCAAGTTCTTGCCTTTGTACATCCTCCTCTCAGGTGAACGGCTGCTGCTCCTCCCACCTCCCACCTCCCACGCCTGGTCCTCTTCTCTCAGCCTGCCTGCTGCTCCTGCTGCATCTTCCATGCTGCCGCTTACTCTGTGTACTTCCTGCCTGAGAACAGCTGCCACATTGGGTTGCAATTATTTGTTGATGCTTCTGTCTTGTTTCAGTATATTTTGAAAGGAAAGCACCGGTTTTATTCTTCATGCCCCAGCTTGCTTAGACAGCTTCTCTTACACCAATGGGTGAATGAACAAATGAGGTAGTTCTTGAAGTCTAACTGACAAAGTTAGGTAGCAGGCATAGATATAATGATGAAAATAGAGGTAAAGGTTCTTTTTGTTGTTGTTAACTTCCCATTAAAAAGGATGAAAATGATTACTAGAAATTTACCATCAACCTAACAAATGGTTAGAGTTCTTAATATCTAGAAAGATCATCCTAGGAAATCCCAGTTGTAACTTTGGCCCTTTTTTTTCCCCTAAAACAGACCAACCAGCCAATCTTCTATGTCTAGGCTTAATGTAATTGTAGCTGAGTTGCACACCATTTAATTATTACTTAATTATTTAATTATTACTTAACCTGGGTTGCTAATTCACAGGGTGGATAGCCCACAGAACTAGGTGTAGAAATACATTACCTGTATGCTTGCCAGGAAAAATCTAATGTTAAGTTTTGAAACCCACTTTAGACCAATTTTATAAAATACAGGAAATAGGGGGTTGGGCAAACCTTTGTTGAGAGATTATTTATTTATTAGGTGTTTTCAAGGAAGAAAGCTCATTAAATATCATTCTTAAACCAGCCCTCCCAGGACTGTCGTATTAGTCCGATTTTAATGTTGGTGCAGATGGTTAATGAACTTGTCAAGAACACAGAGCTGATTCACAGCTGAGTCATGATTTGCAGTGAGGTCTTGAACTCCAGATCCTGTGTTCCATTTCCTCTAGCATGTGGCGTGAGCAGACTTCAGTCATGTCCTAGATGCCATCCGTTAGCTGCCGCGCTGCTCCAATCCTGACTCCTTTCCTTTTTCCATTGATTGAGCTGGACTTCACCCCAAACTCTCTCCTTCTTGCCCTTTTTTCTTTACATTGTACTTTTCATCTTTCACTTTTTTCTTTTTCCAGTACTTACTAAAATATTTCTGAAATGTTTATTATTACATGATCTTGAAGGTAAAAAATAGCATTTTAGTTTCATCTTTCTTGCAGAAAAAGCTGAACATATTGAACAGTTGGTGCTTACAGCAGCCATACTTGAATGAACAGATTAATCCAGAGGTTTGATTCTAACACATGTTTTGTTTTTCTGAAATCCTAAATATCTTGTACTATTCAAAAATTGTTGGATTCAGAAGGCCCCAAATGTTGTGATTTATCTAATTGTTTTCCTTTTTTGTACATCAGGTGAAACCTGGATACAGTTATGGAGCAAATATTACCTGATTCTTAAAATAGCCCCTTTTGTTCTACATACTCTGAAGGAGAGTACTATACTGAAAGGTCAAACCAGTGAAAACATTGCTGCTTCCCCACCTGTCTTCCATGTAGGGTCACATACCACAGACTGGTATAGGAGACAGAGCCAGGAGTTTGCATTGTCTAGGCTTGATAGGCCAGTGGGCAAATGTCAGGAGGCCCTAATCCTATCATAAAATGAGAGGCTCTGTAGAAATTGCCAGGAATTTTGAATAGTTTTCTCATAACCATGAAATAATTTGTATTTTTAACTACTAATTATACGAACAATGAATGAAAAATCAGCTATTTTCTACACGGTTCCAATCAAAATGATGAAAATTTCTATGAATTTTCTAGTCTTGTGTGGAGTTCTCTCCCCACATATATCAATTTGGGTCCAAGTAGGCTGGATTTTCTTACAGCCAAAATCCAGAATCAGTACTTGCTTCCTTCCCTTGTACTTCTCTCTCTCTATGTACTTGAGAGGCTTCTTTTATATAAGAGGTTTCTCCTTTTTCTTCATTATTTATTTTGTTCCTTTTTTTTTTAAAGTCATAGTCCATCTYTCTTCCTTTTCTAAAGTCATTGCTTTTATTGGCCTTCAGTTTTAAACTGAGTGTATTACAATGGATCTTAAGAAATGAGCCTAGAGGTTGCCAATTACTACAGGAAAGGAATGTGTCACTTTTACTATCCATGGATCAAGAGAAAGAGTATTGTCCCAGAACATCAGTCCTTGAATGAAAAATTACCGCCTCTTAGTGAGTTGCCTCAAATTTGTGGGAGTTTCAGTGTCATCTCTACAAAATCGAAGTAGTTAGTTATTTGGGGCCAAAGGGAAATTGAGATAAGAAATTTTAGGACTGTAAGGAGAAAAGAAAGAGGGAAAGATAGGAAGAGAAAATTCTAAGGACAAAATTGGTTTTAATTAAATGACATAAGTAAGAATAGCAGCTATTGAGATATTGGAAAGTTTTTATTATTAATCATCCTCTCCTTTCGCAGATAATATACCCTGAATAAGTCATTTTTTCCTTCTTGTTTTACAGAGGTCAGAGGTCGACTCCGCTCACCCATGATGGACAGCCAAAAGAAATGCCACAGGCTCCTGTACTTATTTCTTGCGCTGACCAGTGAAGCGCCCTTTAATTGTAAAACATTGTGCTTTACCTACTACCCTAGCCTTGTCTTTACCAAGGGATGCTAGTGAGTCCATGTGGTGGAAAATATAGACTGCAAACAAGTGCTTGTTGCCCTACACGGCCCAGACTCACTTGAAGCAGAAGTTAGCATCCTGGGCCAGTTTGTTCTTTTGGAACCCAGAATCTTTAAGGGTGATGTTATCTGATACTGAACAGAAACAGAATGATCCTGGAGCTTTGCTTTCCATTGAAGGCTTTTGACAGTAATAGGTGGTGACTTGGTAAAAGGCTGCCTTTACTGTAGCTCATCCAGCATCTCTTTTACCAACCAGAGAGTGTGAAACTAGTTTCATATATTACCTAGTTATTCTTTCAAAACAAAACAAAAAACAAAMAAAAAAAAACTGACGCACTGCACTAGTTATTATTAGATATTCTTAGTCTTTTTTGTACATGGAGATTTAAGTTCTAAGATGGTTTATATAATAGGTTATACCTACATTTATATTGTAGAATAAATATTAAAAAGCCTGTTCCAGAGACTCCCAAGCAGCATGGGCAGGCAGATGTACCATTGTTAGCGGTGTATGCTCGGCCTCGTGGTCCATATATTCTGCACTTTTATATTTGCCACCAGAGTGATAGTTTGCTGGCAAAAAGAGAGTGAGAGAGAGAGTGAGAGAGAGAGAGAGAGAAAATTACAATTCTTACAATCTGAATTTTTTTCTTAGCCTTGAGTGACCAAGAAGAATTTGCTTGGGGCAAATTGTGGCAAATATTTTCCCAGACAGGGGAAGAGTCCTGCAGATTACAGATTACTGATGTTTTCATGCCTTGAGGATTCTTTTATTTTTACACAGGGGTCTAAGTGACCAATGAATCGTTCATACAAACAAACAAACAAAAAAAGACAAAAATATTATTCAGAAGTGACCTTAGTATTACTTCACTATTCTAAACACATTGAAGACATTCACTTCATGTGGACTTGGAGCTACAGACCTTTCACATCCATCACAGACAGACTGGACATGTTGTAATTGCTATGCACAACCTAATTGGCACTGCAGGTTTTTAGAGTCATTTCAAGCTTGCTGTTTAGGAGGTATTGAGTACATGATAGGGGAGGTATACCTGAGGTGGGCCTCTCAGTCATAGATCCACCTGCAAGTTCTGTTTCCTTTTTGTGTTTTGTTGCTTTTAAACATAAAACCAACCATTACATATGCCAGTGCCAAGTGGATTAACTGGCTTAGAACATTGAACATATTGACTTAACCACCTGACGTTCACAGTGTCTTGTTTCCTAGCAACAGATGCAAAGTGATAAATCAAAATTAGTCTGAGGCTACAGATTTTACAGGGTATTTGTTCCATAGCACAAAGTATTTCCCCACTTTTGCATCACAGCACAAACTACCAAATTTTGATTATTGGATTCCAGCAATAATTTTTAAAGGTTTTCAAACTGGTGGAGTTTTGATAGTTCTAGTTCGAGTTTGAAGCTTTTGAGTTAGATCTCTAAATGGTGACAGTTTACATGGTTTTATCTAGCTTTCTTATTTATACTTGACTGAATTGTAATGATGACTTTTTTTTCTAATTGTAATTTGACCTAATAGCCATATAAAAATGACTCTATTAATATTGACTAGGTTTAGCTTCTCATGGTTGTAGATATTACTTCAGTTTCGGTGCTGGAAAATATGTACAACATAAACTAACAGGATTGGAAAAACTGAAGAGGGTTTGTACTCTCTCTCGTTTTTTTTGTTTTTTTTTTCAAAGCAGGAAAGAGGGCAGCAGAGCATTGCAATGATGTTCTCAAAATTGTGTCTTCATTGTGGAGATGGAGGAGGCAGGAATTAGTAGARGATTTATCTGTGGTTATAGCTTACCCCCATTCACATAGAAACATCAAGGGAATAGTCCCAGATTTTAGCATACTGTTTTTACTATGATACAATTTTATTAATATTTTCTAAATTTCAAAGCAAAAAGTGAATGTTTGAAAATTGCTGGGTCCTGATGTTGGTGGCAGTTGGAGTTTTGGACCACTTGCTAGCAGTGATTTAAATATTATAATTAGCTGAAATCCAAAAAAACAAAACAAAACAAAAAAACCAACAACAAAAGTTGTATGGTGCAGAACATGCATCTTGACAATGGTACTAACTTGTCACTCTGTAGAACACATTAGAATAGATCTAGTCTTGCCAGAGCACCCTCCTTCAGTCCTCCGATTACATTTCACTAGAGTTCCTTAAGAGATTGCTGTATATTCATGGGACCTTTTTTTAAAAAGAAGCAAAACAGAAGATTACTTTTTTCTATGTGATTAATATCTTACTTGATCTGCTTTTCCTAAAACCTCAGTGGCTTTTCCCTTAGGCAGGGGTGGGGGAGGGGAGACAACTTCCTGGATATGACTGTTTTCAGATACTTTAAAACAAACCTTTTTGTAGAAATGCTTAATTTTTAAGCGGTTAGGCACTGAGAGTAGCAGAAATCCTGCAAGCTTTATAGTTCTTTAGGCACTTGCCTTGTTTCTCTGAGAGGTTTTGATTCCAGTGGTAGTGCTTCTCATGCCCTTAATCTGTTGGAGAGGGGTGTTGGTATTTTCAGGTAACATTTGTCAGCACAAGTATTTCAGACCAGTATGTAGTGCCCCCCACATTATCATTTTCACTTCATTCTCTCATTCTTCTTTATTTTGGAAAATCATATTGCTATGGTATGTACTTTAATCTGCCAGCAAACACCATCTACACTAACATCTGTCCCACAGCATCCTCAAGAAAAAAGTTGTTGCACCTTATGTATATCTCAAGCAAACCAAAATATGATGCTCTTCTGCTTTGTTTTATTCTAAATCGTTGTATCATATCTTTCTGAAACCATTCTGAATTTAGTTGAAATTATCAATATTTATGCTTTTAACCTTAATTTCTGGATTCAAACCTGTATATAAATCTTTTGAAAAAAAAAAAAATTGTCCTAGCCCTTCTCTGCAACGCTGGAAGTGGAATATTTCGTCTCAGATGGAGACGTAGTATTGTTCCAGTTTTCTCTAGCTTTTTATTTATTTAGTTATTCTGGTATTTCCTATGTAATTTTGAAGTGTGTAGAGTATATTATAGTAACTGAAACTGCAGCTCTAAGAAGCTGAGTGAAAGAAAAAAAAATACTGTAAGACATCCTTGAAGTTTTTATTTGTTTGGGTACTGTATTCGAGATCAGGAAAAGGAAAATGTCCCATAGCCACATTGGAAATACAGGTTCTTGTCCCCAAATTAGGTCAATTCCCAGATTTTAGATCAAAACTCTTCAGTAAATCCTTTTTTGAAGATAAAATTATACTATTGTAATTATGACATCCCATTTCCCACAAATGCCAGAAATAATTTAATTCTGTCAAGATGATGCCCCAATGCCATGCCAGTAATTCCCATCCTATCATTGTTATTCTGGTTCCTGACACTATAATTAGTGGAGAGAAAAATAGTTGGAACACTATGGGGAAAAAAGGCGCATCTGAACTGGTCTGGTTGTTTAGAATTTGACATCTTCAATCCCTGTCCTTTTCTTATTAAGTCAGATGCTACTCTAAGTCATATAAAAATGTGTTTGCACTCTGCTGTCTTTGGCTCAATGTATGGAAGTGTTTGTACCTATGTCAAATCTTTAACAAATTATGAATTGCTATGGAACAGGAATTAGCTGAAAACTGAGTGACGTTTTGTTTATAGGGTGGGTGGGGTAAGGAGTACCTACTAGCTCTGTTCCAAGCTTGGCATTTGGCGTTAATGTGAAGCAGTGGGACCATGCTGCCTGCTAAACTACTGTATGAAGCTAAGTGTTCTGAAGACCAGCAGCTAGAAGCTGGAGGACAGCATCCATTTGACAAAAGAGAAGCACCAACCACCGCATCGGGGACAAGGAAGGAAATCTGGAGGCCTGAAGCCATCATTTGTGAAGGGAATATTGGGGTGTATATGATGCTGTTGAGGAGATTCACCTCTGATTGCACTGCTCCACAGAGCCCTCATGTAAGGCCAATCCTAATGGGCTACCTCGGCTTTAAAAGTTAATTTCAGTAAGTCCTGTTTCAAAAGTTTGTCTTTTTTTTGCTTCTACCTTCAGTGCCACTATTTTCCACTGCAGTGTTTTGATCACAAACCACCTTCTCCAGAGAGAACAATGTATTGCTGAAAATGGGCAGTAGAAGCAAATGCTATTACATTTGACCTATAAAGTATTCAGAGTGACTGCTAGGTAAAAGTGAAAATTTAGCTTTTCCCCACATAGCTCTTTGTTTTACACCTTATGCAAAATATACTAATTGCTAATTAGATGTTGCTTTGTTTATGCAGGCATTCCCAAAGAATTAGATTTGGACTTCATTTTATTTGAGTTTTAGGATTTTTWAAAAAATTGTCATATTTAGATTGACTAACAGCATAACATATACTAAAAAAAGAAGCAGTTATTCAGTTCATCTTACCAGATGTGTCTGGTGAAGTATTCAGGGTTTGATGGGCTGTTTTGCTTTAAAAAATTGATAGTGATAGCTAAATTTATTATACCACGTATTAGATGACTTTTGTCCTTTTTGCTAAGGACATTATCTTACATTTCTGAACAAAGAAGCAGCAAAAGAGTGAATAACAAAACAGACATATTTGATTTCTGTAGACATCTCCCATCTTCCTGTGCTCCCATTTTCTTCAAATATGTATACATTTTCCTTTTTTTAAAAAAAAAAAAAGTTTCTTCTGGCCAAATTTCATCCGTGTTGGTATGATTTATACCAACATACATTGAGAGACAAAACCTTTTAGTTAAAAGTTCTTTGGCCACTGGGTTTTGGATRTCTTTTTGGTTTGGGTTTTGGTTGTTTGTTTTTGGTTTTTTGGCAGTCAGTGGTCAAAACTGATGTTGCCCTCAAACTGATTTTTATGCACAGAACTTATCTCGAACTTTATTACTCCTTCCAAAGATTTCCTGACAGCTTGGGCCAGAACTGGTTACTGAGTAGCAAGGATCTAATTGAATGCCTCCAAACCCTTCTGCCCGCAATGCAAATCTTACCTCACAAGCTCTAACCTAAATCAGAGACAAGCATGCTTCATGAATTATCACTGACTCTTTTTGACCCACTAGAGGAGTGAGCTCATGTCCCCTGACACCTCACATTAGTGCCTCGGCTCTAAAAGCGGCAGAACTGAGGGTAGGGAAGTTTTGCCATCTACAGCTCAGTAACTTGCTCAGCAGCATTTTTCTTTTTTCTCCCCCCACCCCCATTTCTTTAGTTCTAACCACATTTCTTCCTCTCAGGAATTTGTCAAAAAGAATAAAAACTGCCTGAGATTCCACATACCAGATTATGAACTTTTCTCATAGGTTTGAATTGCTTACTTACATGTCATAAATTAACCATAGTTTCATTTGACCACCAGGTCTTAAGTCTGTTGACAGTTTCAGCATGACTGAATCGCTCATTTTTTTGCTTTCAGAAATTGGCTTGGTTCTCTTTAGAGTTGGTGTAAACATGCCATGTAATAAATGATTTCCACGTAATGGTACAACAGAATTATTGCTTTCTTAGATGTATGTGTAGTAAAAGTCAATATACACATTTATATAATTTCTTTCTTCAAAATCTTATACCTAATTTGATATTTCTAAAAATTGCACATGTAAGTCATGTGTATAACATGCTAAAGTACTTTAACTGTGATCTTAAAACTGAATAAAAATATTTAATAAAAATTTGAAATATTTTAAAGATATTATTCAAATACATTTCTTTTTATGTTTATACTACCAATCATAGAGTGTATTCCTTCCATGTACCATACCCACTAAAAACATTAGGAACAATAATAAAAGTGAGAAATTATTTTATCTATTTAGGATATTTCATAATCGTCTCCCCCTACCTTCACTATTTGCTTGAGAATTCACCATTGTGTGAGCATCACTATACCTAATGTGTATAGTGGAGTCCAGCAGAAGAAGAAGAGGCTTCAATCTTCCACTTGGGACAAGAGCCTTTGGGGCACCTCTCTAGGAAGAGACATATGAAGTATAATTAAACTAAGGATATGACGTCATTAAGACCATAACTTATTTATATAAATTCAGACCTCAAATTTGCTGAATACAGTATTCTCAGAGTCTTTTTGTGATGATTATTGTTATTTTTTTAATCCTTTGGAAACCATACATGCACACAAACATACATTGTGTTATCAAATGGGCTTTGCATTTGGACAGGCTGCATTTCAAGTTCTGGATCCACTCGTGTACCATTGGTGTTTAGCTTCCCACAACCACACTCAATACAAATGTTGGTAATTTCATTTCACTTCTATGGGACTGAAGAGAGAATATAGGGAAAATGTTGGCCTGGGGCTCATAATTAAATGCTGATTATAATTGTATTTTTATTCCAACTATAAGATTAGCATGTTTCTTATGCATATTCAAAATAGATACTGAGTACAACCACCTTTTCAAAATAATTTTGAATGGCCCTGGTGCTTTAGGAGTAAGATTTTTCAGGAGACTTATGATGTGGAAACTCAGTAGGTGAAATTCACAGCTCATGCTTTTACATAATAAGCACCCTTTTCATTACTATAAAATTTGTGGGGGGGGTCCCATATAAGGGTAATTTCTGTTATGAAATGACTATACATGATTATATATGGTTCTACATGTATTATAAGATTGTACCCTTCTCTTTGAACAGAACATGAAATCTCATCGAAGGGAAAAAGGAAAAATAGAGTTCGTACCAATAGTGAGTGAGCTAAAACAGAACTATCCCATAGATACTGAAAATTTATACTAGAAAAGACAAGCTTATTAATCAATTTTAAACTTTTTATCTTTSTAGAATTAGAGAAATTTTCAAATATATATAAAAATAAAAAGTTTTAGTATATCAAATCCAGGTTTCCATCACTCAGCTTGAAATACCAGCATTTTCCCAATTCCTGTTTCATCCGAATTACACCCATTTTCTCCGTGCTATACTGAAACCCCAGGAGATATTCATATTCTAGAAAGATTTCATCTATGATTATTTCAGTAGAGCCTGCAAAAGTGATTCTAAGTATGCACAAGTTTTTATTTTTCATATATTGCCTCTTCACAAATCCAAAAATTATTGAAGTTCATGAACCCAAGAAGAGAAGTGCTGAAGTGAAGGTCACTTGGAAATAAGAGTACACTGCTCAGTTTGAGCGTCTCTGAATTTACCTTCATGATCTACAGTTTCCTAAAGAAGAACTTTCTTGATCAAAGGAAGCTATTTCTTAAGATGTATCATTGCAGGGATATGAAGTGTGTCTCGTTTTCTATATTTTTTCTATAGACAATAAGGCCCACATCAAAACTTAAATTGAGTGTTAACAGTATGTCTCTATACAAACCCCCTCCCTAAGCCTCTTCCTACTATATTTTCTGTGTCCCCTACACTTGCAAGCGAGAAAATCTATAGAAGGGATAGAGACAAAATTTTAGATGTTCTGGAAGACAGAAGAATTCATTGGACAACCTATGTCAACATGTAAAGGTAAAATTTCTAAGCTGATTCTAAGCTGCAAAAGTCTGAGTTAAAGTGTAAAAGACCGGGCATTGTAAAGCTTCTAAATGGCAAGGCCTGGGCTAAAAAGTAAAGACTAGGTATTGTTAAAATTCTTCTGCTATCCCCGGAACCTGTAATCTCTGTAAAGTTGTTAGGACAATGCTGGAACTGCYTAGTAAATATCTCCATTGATTCCCTGGTTGTTTAATAGCTAAGGGCTCTAGGTAGCAAGGCACGTAGGCATTGCAGGACCTAAACCAATCAGTTTGAATGTGTACCCCACTTAGGAGCACCAATCACCCCTGTCCAATCTGTTCCCGCCAATGTATGCACTAATCCTAACTCAGGGTTGTTGTTCAATTTTCCCGCGCCTCATGATGATTTGTTCTGATGTATGCAAAGCCCCCCACCCTCTCCAAAAAGTGTACTGAAGCTCTGCTTGAACTCTGCTCTGGGCTCTGGGCTGCTCTCCCTTCTTGAGTGAGCACAGTCCCAGCGCGCTGGAATGGATCCTCAATAAATCCCCTTTTGCCAATTGCATGGAGTCAGTCTCTTGGGCGGTCTCTCCCTCCCATGTTTCGCCGGACCCCCCTTACAAACAGGCCAGAAATGAAAGCGTAAAATGACAGTTGAACACTGTCCCTACTTGGAGATTGTTTATCCTTAAAGAATTGTACAAAAGGTGTTTTGTTGCAGGGTTCCAGATAGGAGAGTCAGAAAAATGTGAGGATTGAAAGTGTCTTGGAGGATGGGGGAGGATGAAGGCAGAAAAGCTAAGTTTATATAAATATGTCTAGACATTTTATGTTCAAGTCAAGATGGCTTTAAAGCCAGCATGAAATATGCCCAAGAAATATGCTCAAGTATAATTTTTTCCTGATGTTTTCTATTGATATTAGTGGTGCTTATGAATGAC